GAAAAAGTACAATGGCAAACCTTTCCTTTAACTTCAACACATTTAGGACCAAATATGTGTATTTCAATCCCAGCTCTGTTATACAAATATTGTGCAAATCCAACTTTTTAAAAAGTGTCTGGTTCAAACAAGGTTAGATAACACCTCTAACAAAGGAATTACAAATTCTCTCTGAATATGCAGTTTAATGACTGCTGATCAATGTAAAATGTTACTTTATCTTAACTCATGAACAGCTGTGTTTTGCACAAAGCTTAAGTGTCATGTCGATCTTGTTTGAACCAGTCAACTTTCTGCAATTCTTTTAATGTTCAGGCACTGGTCATCGACATTTGCCTGAACAGTTGTCCTAAAAAAATAACATTTGTTACACACGGCTCTAAATAAACCTTCTCTGTTTTTGGTGTCATTCTTCACAGTGTGACCTTATTCTGTATCATTTCAGTGTCGGCCACTGCCTTTTATAAAGCCCAGCCAGTCATCCAGTTCATGTGTGAGGTCCTGGACATTCACAACATTGATGAGCAACCCCGCCCGCTCACCGACTCCCACAGAGTCAAGTTCACCAAAGAGATCAAAGGTATGTCACCAAGGAAAGGCAGTCCCCACACCACAGGCCTCGCCTGGTACAGCGTTTGACTCGTGAATGTTAGATCCTCTGTAGGTTTTGACAGTTTATTTATGTGTAAAGGAGGTACAAGTGAATCTCAGTAATTGAAGTAATAATAATAAAGCTCAAAGCTTTGGGTCATGACCGAAAGGGCAAGATCCCGGATACAGGCGGCTGAAATGAGCTTCCTCCGCAGGGCGGCTGGGCGCACCCTTAGCAATAGGGTGAGGAGCTCGGTCACCCGGGAGGGGCTCAGAGTAGAAACGGTCTTTCTCCACATCGAGAGGAGCCAGCTGACCAGCCTTAACTATACGCTTTATCAAAAAAATTAAGTCTAATATTAAAGGTAGAGAGGGTGTCTGCCTCCTGAACTGAAACTGGGAGCTGGTTCCACAGGAGAGGAGCCTGATAGCTAAAGGCTTTGCCTCCCATTCTACTTTTGTAGACTCTAGGGAACCACAAGTAAACCTGCACTCTGAGAGTGAAGTGCTCCCTTGGAATGATAAGGTCTTTAAGATACAACGGAGCCCTGTCATTAAGGGCTTTGTATGTTAGGAGAAGGGTTTTAAATTCTGTTCTGGATTTTACAGACATGTTATACTTATTCATAGTGGTATGACGATGGACTTATCTCATGAGATAATAATAATAATAATAATAATGATAAAGCTTTATTACAACTCCGAGGAGCACAGAGTGCTGAACAGTAAAACATGTGGAGCAAATAGAAAACATTACTAAAACAATAAAACCTAAACAGAATAAAACACAAATTTACAAAACAGGAGCAATAAAAAAACTTCCCTATCAAGATGCAAATAGCATAAGACAACAAGTTAAACAACGTCCCTTCGGGGCAAATAAAACAGATTAAACACCAAAAGCCTGTCTAAAGAGAACTCGGTTATGGAGTTTAAGCCTTTCAGTTGTTCCACTCACTGAATAAAAGTTTCAGTCACTTAAGTTTTACTGATACTTTTTATTGATTATATTTTCACAGGTCTTAAAGTGGAAGTGACACACTGTGGAACCATGCGGAGGAAGTACAGGGTCTGCAATGTGACACGACGCCCTGCCAGTCTCCAGACGTGCGTTTCCACATCACTCCCCCATTAGCTGTTAACCCGCAGTGAAAGCTGTAGTTGGCTTATATTAATAAGAGGTTCTTTTTTTTTTTTTTTTTTTTTTTTTTTTTTTTTTTCTCTCATCATAGAACGGTCAGACAGTCGAACGCACAGTGGCACAGTACTTCAGGGAGAAGTACAATCTGCAGCTGAAGTATCCCCACATGCCTTGTCTGCAGGTGGGCCAGGAACAGAAACACACCTACCTGCCCCTGGAGGTAAGGACTGATGGTGACTATATGATTCCATTGTCAAATGCCTGAAAAAAGGTCTATGGAAGTTAAATTATTCTAGTGCACCTGAGATTGTGTTTGGATACAACCTGCCGGTTAACAGTGTCGAGTCTTGACGTTTATAAGTTAGCCTGGTTCTACAACTCTGATATGTCGCCCCCACAGATTTGTTTAGCTAATCATATAGGCCCTGTGCTGCACACACTGACAGCTGTTTCCACCAGTGTACTAATGAAAGCTTTGTAGGTGAGATAAAAAAGGTGTAATTTTCCTGACCAGATGATTAGCTACATTCACAAAGATGGCAAGAGAAAACGTGTACCCAACCAGAAATGGGCTAAATTGAACACAATTTCAGTTTGACTGAGGTCAAGTAAAAAGGCAGTTCAGCCTGGATGAAGAACTGGGTTAACTTGAATTTTATTTATTTTTTCCTCATTTAGGTGTGCAACATTGTAGCGGGACAGCGTTGTATTAAAAAACTAACGGATAACCAGACATCAACCATGATCAAAGCAACAGCGCGCTCTGCACCAGACAGACAGGAGGAGATCAGTAGGCTGGTGAGGATCCTGAGGAGAAACAGTACAAAATGAAGCTTCCATTTGTTTCCTGTTAAATAAAAATTCTCTTCCCAGGTGCGGAGTGCGAATTACGAGGCCGACCCGTTTGTCCAGGAGTTCCAGTTCCGAGTGCGTGATGAAATGGCTCAGGTGACGGGCCGTGTCCTGCCGGCCCCCATGCTGCAGTATGGCGGCAGGGTGAGCTCTGAACCCTTTATGGTACCTTCCTCTTTAAATCATGCTTCATTTGCGTGTGTGTCTTCAGCATGTCTTTGTGTGTGTTTGACACTGCAGTGTTTTCTACACCTAGTGAAAGCAAAAGTGCACAAGATGGGCTGAAAATCCAAACCAAATAGTATGACACCTTTTAATGGCTTGGAATTTATGTGCCTAAACCAGAATCTCAGATGATGTTATGATCCTTTCATGCAGCGATTGGCATATTGTGAAAAACATAACACAACATCTGGAAAGAACCACACATTTTCTGTGGAGAAACCCTGTGATTTACAATCTGTAGGTACATTTATTTTTTTCATGTCCAATGTGTGTTCACTGAATACCATATTTCTCTGATATTTATCATGCACATCTTTTCTGCTCTTTTTCTCTGAGAACGTTTACTTTGAATTTTGGACGTTCACTGAATACCATATTTATCATGCACATCTTTTCTGCTCTTTTTCTCTGAGAACATTTACTTTGAATTTTGGATTCATGTTCTTCTACACTTGTCTGCTGTTTTGCATGTTCATCATAAAAAATGTGTACAGCCTATTTCCAGATAAAAGATAAGAATTAATGTCTAATACTATGATGAAACAGTCACTCAGTTAAATAGTCAGTTGATCCTGAAATCCTGTTGGCAGCTGGAATCCTTTTAACCTTTGACTTCATACACTGTCTGTGTGTCTATGTACTGTATGTGTCTGTGTGACTGCCAGCCCCAGCAGATCAACCCTGCACTGTCGTTGCAGAACCGCACAGTGGCCACACCCAGCCACGGGGTGTGGGACATGAGGGGGAAGCAGTTTCATACCGGAGTGGAGATAAAGATGTGGGCCATCGCCTGCTTTGCCACCCAGAGGCAGTGCCGAGAAGAGATCCTCAAGTGAGCTTGCAAAATTGACTGTTATTGCATTGCTTAGTTAATTACTAGCACTAACATTAAAGAACAGAGTGATACAAGGAAGTTTGATGCAGGTTTTTAAAACTGAGGTTTAAAAGATGAGATGAAGACAGTCCCATTACAAGAAACCAGTCAAATGTGTTTTTATATAAATCTAGGTCTAATTCTATTCACAAAGAAACTTCAAGGCACCAAAGTGACTTTCTATTTTCAGTAAAACCATAAACACACCCCTTTCACTCATAACTAGGTTTACTCCAAGGCTCCCAGTCCTGGAAAGGCTTAAAGCCTGTTCTAGCCGCTGCCCTGCTTTTTGCAGTGTACACTACCAAGTTCAATCTCCTGGGCTGGCTTACAGCACAAACAGCCCAGTATGCAACATTGTCTGTCATAAAATAGTTTATTATATACTTTAATCCCAGTAAGATTACTTGATTATGTAAAAGCAATGAATACAGTTTCTGTTCATAAATGGCAATAAACCAATATTCTGCTGGTGCATATGTTAAATCCCTGACCTCACAGACACAGGGTTAAAGCTTTAATATAGAATGCTGCATTTCTTTTCTTCTCAGGATATTCACAGACCAGCTGCGGAAAATTTCAAAGGATGCTGGGATGCCAATCCAAGGCCAGCCTTGCTTCTGTAAATATGCCCAGGGAGCGGACAGTGTGGAGCCGATGTTCAGACACCTGAAGAACACCTATGCCGGGCTGCAGCTTATCATTGTAATTCTGCCTGGCAAAACCCCTGTCTATGGTATGGAGACAATATTTTCTAAACCAAACACAGTATTTGAAATTAGAAATTGAAACAACAACAGTAACCATAAAAGCCGGTTAAGATGGGTCAGATCCAAACTTTTAACCCAAAGGTAAAGGCCAGTGCTACCCTGTGTAGAGATAACATAAAGTAGCATCACTTTAATCAAGTTTGTGAGGCATAAGAGTGTGTTCAGTCACTGTGATCTGTGACCCCCCCAGCTGAGGTGAAGCGGGTGGGAGACACCCTCCTTGGTATGGCCACCCAGTGTGTCCAGGTGAAGAATGTGGTGAAGACATCCCCTCAGACCCTCTCCAACCTCTGCCTCAAGATCAATGTCAAGCTGGGAGGCATCAACAACATCCTGGTTCCACACCAACGGTAAAATCACAGCACGGCATGTAAAAACAAAAGAAGGCGGTCTGTGTTTTTTGTTTTATTACCATAACACAAATCCCTGATGTTACATTCTTAATTTGTTTGTAAGTTTCTCTGCCCTTTGGAAGGCACAAGACAGCTGCGTACTTGACTAATGTGTTTGTAAATGTTGTTGTTCCTCCAGGCTCACACCAGTATCTCTTTGTGCTTTTGATGTCTGAGGGAATGCTTGTGTCATTGCATGATGGATTAGTTGGAAGATAATTTTGTCTCTTCTCGTCCATGCAGACCTTCTGTGTTCCAGCAGCCCGTCATCTTCCTCGGGGCAGATGTCACTCATCCTCCAGCAGGAGATGGGAAAAAGCCATCTATTGCAGCGGTGAGGCTTCACTGCAGACAAAGCTCCTTTGCCAACAATCTGTGCTTTTCTCTTCATTTAAAATACACAGCCTGGGACCACAGCCTGCAGATAATCCTCTTGAAATACATCTGGCTTATGAGCTGTCATTTTGGTGCTAGTGCTTGTTGTGATTTGACCATTTTTGTGCTGTTGATTGTGTAAAACAAAGCTGTACCTGCAGTAAACCTGCTGTAAAAGGTTGCACTCCAGAGTTTCTAATGTGATTTTAGGGCTTCAGTTTCATGTTCATAGTATGCTGCTGTTCAAAGAAAATGGTGTTTCTGACACGTCTCTCCCTCTACAGGTGGTGGGCAGTATGGATGCCCACCCCAGCAGGTACTGTGCTACAGTGCGAGTACAGAAGCCCAGACAGGAGATCATCCAGGACTTAGCCTCTATGGTGCGAGAACTCTTGATCCAGTTCTACAAATCAACCCGCTACAAGCCAACCAGAATCATCTTTTATAGGGATGGGGTGTCAGAGGGCCAGTTCAGACAGGTACAACCTTTCTCTGCTGTCACACCTGTTTGTAAAAAAAAAAAAACTAATGTTTTTACTTGGTAATTTGAATACTTGTGGTTTTCTGTGTAGGTGCTGTACTATGAGCTGCTGGCTATCCGGGAGGCCTGCATCAGTTTGGAGAAGGAATATCAGCCAGGGATTACCTTCATCGTCGTACAGAAACGCCATCACACGCGCCTCTTCTGTGCAGATCGCAACGAGCGGGTGAGCATCAATTATGGGAATTATTAGGTTTCACTTCTTTCTGAACTGATAAATTGGAGTTAAAATTAAGAGCCAGTATCTTTTAAACAGTGAATTTAATATTAGGGTCATGACTCAGGCCCGTAAGGGAACATTTTCAGGTAAAACAATGCTTATGTATATGAGTTTCTTTCATTTTGTTTGCCTCTCAGGTTGGACGAAGTGGAAACATTCC